GATGAAAGAAAAAAGTTTATCAAATGATGCCGGTGTCTGGTTTAGTAGGCATTAATAGAACCAAATTTTTGGGCCAGACGAAAACGGAGAACTCATTTTCATAATTGTAAGCTAAAAAAGAGGCCGAAGCTAAAACAAAAATAAATAAATAAAATAAATCAAAACGTTCATGGCTCTATCGCATGATTCGCATAGCGAGTAAAAAATGCTTCGATGAAGTTCACCAAGTGAGAGATGTCCGTTGTCCCACACATCTCTCGAACACTGTGCATGCTCAGCATTGGATTGCCAATATCAACAGTTCGTATTCCAGATAAAGAGGAAATAATGGGTCCAATTGTTGAGCCACATGGTGAGTCATTCGGTACACAAAATTCCTGCATGGGAATTGAGGCTTCTTTCGCAATTGACTTCACAACTGCAGCGGTAGCACCATTTGTAGCATAACGCATGTTTGCGTTATATTTAATAACAGGTCCACGATGAAGTAGAGGTCGGTGATTTTCCTCATGTTTGTCCTTGTAATTTGGATGTAGAGCGTGTGCACCATCAACGGAAATTAAAAAGGAATTTGCTACAAGCGTGGACCGATGCGTCTTTGAGGCCATAATATGTTCAATCAAGTCTTGGACCAGGGTCCCACCTGCGCCTTGTGAAGTTTCAGACCCAACTTCTTCGTTATCAAAAAGACAAATCATTCTTAGCATATTGTCCATATCAAGGTTCCTGTCTGCTTGCAGAAGCGCTTTTATACCACAAAAACAAGAAATTAGATTGTCCAGACGTGGCGCAAAAACAAACTCATCACACGCCCCACCAATCGTCGCTGGCTGAGTATCAATAACACTTAGGTCGTAATCCATAATATCATCCGGTAAACAACCCAATTCCTCTGCAAGTAGTTTCATAAGATGAAAACTGTGCTGTTTGTCTTGGTCGCCATTTAAGGCACCCGAAACCTCGGTTGCAATAATGGGAACCAAGTGTTTTTCCTTGTTTGGTGCAAATACCTCACGTTCCTTAGCTGTTTGAAGGTGAATTGCAAGTGAAGGAATTCGCACAATAGGTCGTTTTAAATTCACAAGACGCTTCTCCAATTTTGCTGAAGATAAAAACACCCTCCCAGCGACCGTTAAATCCCTATCAAACCACGTATGCCAAAGCCCGCCACCATAGCACTGGACCGCGATACCCTGATATTCCCCTTTATCAGCTTTTGTTCTTGGCTTCAATGCAAGGTTAGGAGAATCCGTATGAGCCCCCACAATCTTTATGCCGTTTGAAGGTTCAAATTTACCCCCCACTGAAAAAGCAACCAGGCTGCTATCATTTCTCGTAACATAATATCGACCGCCCGCCAGAATAGGAGGCCATACCTCGCCTTCTCGGAGTCTTTTGTATCCGGCAGCAGTCAACCACGAGGAAATAACCTCAACCGCATGGAATGGGGTACAAGCTTTATTGATAAACTCAACAAATTCTTTCGCAAGTTCCATGACAAGAGAGGTCAAGAATGATGTTTCAAGAATTAAAACAAAATGAAAAAAAAGACAATCAACTTTCCTATTCTTGTGTTTCGCAAGAGAAAAGCAAAATGAAATAGAAGAAAAAAAAAGGATGAAAAGATATTCGTCGTGCATCCTGTATAGTGCAGTTAGTACAAAGGGGGGAAAAAGGTTTGAATCCCCAAATCAAAAAGCAAAAAAAAATGATGCTCACAAAACCCGATGAAGACCAAACAATATTCTCACATATACAAGTAAATAAAAACTCTCAAAGATCCTTCAAATACTTAAACGAGTAGACTGTATTGTCGCGGAAACATTCAAACCAATCTTGGTGTAACCAGCAATACCAGGAAAAAAAAGGCAGGCCTTGGCGTCATTTATTCCAAGAGCAAAGCTCAATGCCTCATTTTTCCAGTAAAAATAGATGCACCTACGCCTTCGGCAGTTTACAACCCAGCCCCCTTAATTCCAAAAAGAATATAGAACAAGCGAAGAAAAGTTCGTCCCCCGCCAAATAGTCAAACCCGCGGCACAATTTAAAAACAACAAAAACTATATACAGAAACCAGCCTCCTGTAAAACAAAAAAAGTAAATGAGAACAAAGGTTAATATAAAAGGACTATTGTGCCACCAATTATATGGGACTTAATTGTTATTTCATTCTTATTTCTTAGCCATGTGAACCAAAAATTTTTGCTACATACTCGATGCGTCGGACCGGCAAAATGCAATTGATATAATACCAACCCAAAAACAACAAAAAAAATCCTAGTACTAAAAGCCGTTGTACACATAAGATCGTCCTACTTGCGTGAACGATGGGAGCTAAACCACATATACAACTGACATGCGTCAAGAAAATACATGAACCCTCTTAATTTTAAAAACAAATTTCAGTGACAGAAAAAAGAGGCCAAAAACAATTTGAAGCCACAACAAGGAGCCATATAAAAAGGCTTACACGGCATCAGCAAAAAAAAACTCACAACCTCGCCGAGAATATGTCACACTTGCCAGCAAAGCCCTGAACGGTTTAAGCTAAAAAAAAAGAGGCAATATTCCAGAAGATTCCCAATAGAAGGAATAATAAAGAAAGAAAAAATAGAAACAAACACAAATAAAACAAAAAAAATTTCATCATCCCTAAAAAAAAAAGTTCAGAAAAAAAAGGCATGCCTTTTCAGACTTGGTACATGAAGCATCTCCAACTGCAAAAACAAAAGTCATTAGCATTCCAAGAAAAAGAAAACATTGATACCAGCTCACACGTATATAGTGTCAGAAGAGTGGGCATCGCATTCAAACGCCGCGGCGCAACACAGGAAAGAAAGAAGTAAAACTCCGAGAAGAGGCCAGCACGGCCTACGGGCCGGCGCACGCTTCGAGAATTGCAGAACAAAGGCCCGAACATGCCACGCGACCCCCACCCCCCCCGGCGACGCGAAGAAGCCGCCGCCTCGACTGCGAGCCGCGACACCCCCGCCCCCCAAAAGCCGGGAAGAGGCCGAGCCCACCAGCGCAGGGGGGGGGGGGAGGCGAAAGAAATAGCTTGTGGTCCAGGTTGGCCTCCGTTTGCGGGGTCGCTGGCTGGGGGAAGGTGGTCGCGGTCGTTTTTTTTTTTTGCCTCTTCAATTTCTTTTTTTTATCGCTCGCCGGACCTGCTGCTGTGTTGTGGATAACTTCTCTTGGGATTCGAGTGTCGTGTGTGTCTTTTTTTATTCTATTTTGCTTCTTATTTTCTCTGATGTCTATTTGCAAATTCTCTCTTCTAGGACGGCGCGTTCGAAGCTGTTCCGAATGCTGCGACGGACGCGTCTGCGTATTCTTCAATCCTCGGCTCACACATTTGCAAATTCGGCCCAACAACGCAAAATTGATGAGGTTGTTCGCGTAGATCAAGCGGGAGAAGTGGCAGCAGTCCGAATTTGTAAATATCAGCTCTTCTGGACGTCTCCGCTTGATGCCTCAATTCCAGTCGTTAAGGAAATCTTAAAGGATGAAGTTGTCCACGAAAAGACAATGAATGAGCTTGCCGCGAAGCATTCTGTGAGGCTTACAGCGCTGGATCCAATATTTCATTTAGGTGCCTTTGCCATGGCCACCGCCACTGCCTTTCTCGGTAAAGAAGCAATGATGTGTTGTCATGCTGCAGTTGAAATTACCATTGCGGGGCATTATAACGATCAACTTCGTGAACTTGAGGCAATGGAAAATGTGGGAACTGTTTTAAAAGATGGTGATGCCAAGGCTTGGAAAGATGTCAAGGATATAGTAGTTAAATTTAGAAACGAGGAGGAGCATCATCAACGCCTTGGTGAAACAAATGGGGCAGATCAGGCACCAGCGTATCCCATTTTATACAATGGGATACGTTTAGCATGTAAAATGGGGGTGGCTCTAGCGAAAAAGATTTAAGCGTTTCAACAAATGCCTAGGCGCGAAGGGGAATTTAGGAAAAATATAACAGGGAGAAGAAGAAATCTCAAAAAAAAGTTATGCTTTTTTATTATTTGGGATGTTATATAATATATATATATATATATATATCCAAATAAATATAAATATATTGCCTACATAACTGCTTCTTGACTCTTTTATTATTACTATTATTATTCTAGGCATTTAACAATAAAATGAACACTTATCCTCAACAAGTCATTGATGCCGACGCTAACTGTAATGACAAGGTGAAGACTCTGCAAGCAGAAACCGAGTCTGAGGCAAACCAGGTACGCATTGATTACAGGAAAAAACTTGAACGTTTATTTGAGCAACGACAGGAGAGTCTCGACAAAATAGAGGGCTTCTGGAGTGGTGTCTTGGCAGCCACTGATACTCCATTAAAGCCATTGCTTAATGGCACAATCGACCCCAAAATTGTTCGTGCAATTACGAGTTTCAAGGTAACCACATTCGTTAAGGATGGTTTACTATGTCGAAATGTTTCCGTTGTTCTCCGCCCCAACATGTTTGCAGAACAAGGAACTATTCATCGCGCGGTGGATACCCATCTTCAGACGCTTTCAATGGAGCCCATCAAGTGGAAGTCTGGAACGGAACGCGCGCGTCAGGACTCCGTTTTTAGGTTTTTTACACCCGGGTGTGATGATGAAGGTTTTATTGATGATGCATTGGACGCTTTTGACACGGTTTTCCAGAACCCATTTTTGGCACTTGAGCCTAATGAAGATTAATAACTACATGCGCGTTATTTGGATAAGAAAAAAGATTACTAAGCGGAAGAGGTATGAGTGTGGTACTCATAGAATCCCTTTCTTGGATTGGTTAACAATTGCCTTCTCCTCTGCCCTTTTTTTATTCTTCTTCTTATTGGCCGTGAGTTAATTCAGTGTATTATCTCCCTTGCTGTTGTGTTTTACCTTACGCTGTTTTTTTCTCCTTTTTTTTTGAATAGAACAGAGAACTCCATTAGCGATATGTCATCGCTTCGATCAAGCACACGTGAGGTTGAAAACATCTTGCACGATGTTGGGGCCTCTCTTCGCAAGTTTCAGGGTTCTAAAGGTTTGCGGTGCTTACTTGATCAAGGCAAGCTTTCGCTTTTGTCTGCAATGGGTGAATTTAAACAAAGTAGTGATGCGATCTATGATACACGCATGAAAGTGGTTTCACAAACCCGTGTTACTATACTAAAACTGTCGGATTGTTTTGATGCTGTTGGAAAAACTGTTGAAACTCTGTTTCTTCAGCTAGGTGAACTGCTTTCAGAGCTGCATCAATTTAAAGAAATTTGCGAAAATCATTTAGAAATGACAAATGAAGTTCCTTCTGAAGACACCGGATTTAGTGACATTAACTCGATGAGAATTGAATTCGCTGCCTTGAGCCGAGAATTGAGCAATGATATTAGGATCAATTGCTGTGGGATACAGTCTTCTTCTCTTGAGCAAATTGATAAGGTTTATATGGATGCAAAATTTGGCGTTGGAAGAGCTCAAACTGCATTTGATGCTACGAGAAGGAAGGCACAAGTTTGTGAAGCTGAATTGTTGGCAACTCGTTCGAGTGGTTCTGCCGATCAGGTGAAGCAGATGGAGTTTAAGCTTCATTCTTTGCTAGAACGCCTTCACGAAAGCGGCGACCAATACCAAGAGGCTTTACAAGGTAGCATGAAGAATACATCGTTTATTTTGGAACAGGTCTCAATGGCGACGTGGGCAGCAGCGAACGTATTCTTTTTGCAATTGGGTACATTTTTCAAGGATGTGATGAGTCGATGTGATGTGCTTGCTGGGGCTCTGTCTTCGGTGAAGAACAACCGAGGCGTTTCTCGAAAAATAAATTTGGAGAAGCAATCCGCTGCTGCTGCTGCCGCATCTTACATATCTTCCGCCACCGCTATATCACGGCCTGAAGAGGAAAAAAATGGCCCAACCACGCCACCTTCTCACGAAGTAGTTGACTTGCTTTGTGCTCAACAAAGTGATGGCTTCGTATCACACCTTCCTCTGATCGAAGGCTCTGTACCTCGAGGAACAAGGGAGTTTGATATAGATGATATTTTCAAGTAGTCCTATGTGAAGCATAATTGCTTTTCTTCATGGTCTATTAAAATTGTCTCACCTTTGGCTTGTACAGGTAACATGGATGTGACCGTATTTTTTTTTTTTGCCGTGTATGATATTTTACGTACACAGCAAATCGAAGAAGCAAAAAAAAAACGACATGAAAACAAACTCGTCGCTCTTCCCCATCTTATTCGTTTATAATTGTCTAGGCAACAGTGAAACAGAGGACGGAAGAAGGAGAGTAAATAAGAAAATGCTTAAGTTATGGTTGCGTGAGCCTCATCAGAGTGATGATGAGTCGATAAAACTTATAATTGATGAGGAAACGGACGTGTCCGATGTGCTTCTGAAGGTTCCTGAACTTCTTCGAGTGCAGCAGCTCAAACCTTCAGAGATTCAGGCGGAGTACAAGGACAAGGTACTTTCCAATCGTTTGGTTGTCTCGAGACTTTTTGAGGGAAGCAAAGAGGGCACATTTGTTATCCGCCCAAGGCCTGGTGTAGTTATTGCCCCGAATGATGCATGGAAGGAATCCTCCGTTTCAGGAGTTCGTAGCTGCGATAGAAAAAGTGTGCCTACCTCGGGTCGCACTAAAGGTCACCCACCTCCCTCACCAAGAAGAAATCAATTTGGTAAGAGTGCAAGCGCAACTTCTGACACTTTGAAAAGGACCGGCTCTCTTGGCGGAGACCGTGGAAGGCCTCCAGTAGCTAGAAGCACAAGTCGGGGAGCGACACCAACCCGAGTGGTTGGAGGGGGCACTCCGAGAGATACAAAAGCCAATATCGCTGCGCACCAGAATGAGAGAAACATAACAAGTCGAGCAACAACCCCCAGGCGAGGTGCCTCCGTTCCCACATCCGATCGGCAACCAACGGTTCGTTCTCGGTATATGGACCCAAAAAACGTGACATCTCGTTTTCGCCAAGAGGCCGAGAAAGTGCGAGCGCCTTCAAAGAGAAACCAGGTACAAGCTGTGTGTGACAGTTTTAAACCTCAATGGGGAAAGCCTCTCTGTGCTACCTGCAACCACTCAAGGCAGGCACATTGGGGAACTCATAGGAGGAAAAACTCTGGAGTGGAAGCAAATTTCCCATCGGAGATCGACGGCCCTGCAAACGACACCACACAGTTTGGGAGCGCCGCTCCAAATGAAAAAGCATTGACGGCAACAGAAACAGACAGTATCCAAAATAACATGGTCGTTGCCAATGCTGCATCGTTATTGGGGCAGGAAGAGTATTAAAAGGAAATTTCATCTGGCTCTTCACAGACACACACACACGCATATACACAAAAAAAGGTCCCTGGTGTTATGCCTATCATTATTCTCGTCAACTTCTTTTATTTTATGTTTTCTATCTGTGTGTAGATGTACGTGTCTTTAGCTTTCTGTGCGAACGAAAAAGCAACAAAATTGCAGTGGTGGCATCTTGATGTCGATTTACTCATGCTATATATGCACGTGTGTATATGTGTACTTTTTTTTACTCGTCATTAGAATATAAATAGTCGCCGTGTGATTTCTCTCTGTATCTAGTGTTGTTCGTACTGTTTCCTTCCCTTTCATTCGTAGCTGGTGTAACTCAGGTTAAGAAATGAAGAAACTAGGGCTTGTTTTAGATGCCGCAGCCGTGGAGAAAACCCAACGAGACCTTCAGTCCTATCAGATAAGAAATAATAACTCACTTCAGCTGCGAGCATTTTTGATAAATGAGTCTGGTATGTTCACTAAAGACGGCAGAAAGTTGCCTGGTAGTGTAACAAAGGAGGATATTGATGATGCCTCCAAGAGGCTCATTGGTCGAGGGGCAAGTGGGGCTGTTTACTTTGCGAAAATGAAGGATGGGAGCCCTGTAGCTCTGAAGCACATACCTATTACTTCTAAGCCACATCGAGATGAGGTAGATAGAGAGTTGTCCTTTTTCAGCTCTCAATCGCACTCGCCTTTTGTCATGAAAAATTTGGGGGCCTTTTGGGATTGCGAGGAAGCTGCTATAGTTATACCCATGGAGTGGATGGCGTACACTCTAAAGGATTTGAGTTGCTTTTGGGACGGCATCGAAGAAACTATTTTGCGTGATGTCTTTTTTCAAGTTGTTTCGGGTCTGGTGTATCTTCACGATATAAAGCGCGTGATACATAGAGATTTAAAACCGAGCAACTTGCTTATTCGTGATGATGGATATGTCAAAATTGGAGACTTTGGGGTGTCAAAACTTGTCCAAACTCTTGATGTTTCTTCAACCTACGTCGGGACAATGTATTTCATGGCCCCAGAACGGCTAGAACAGGGCGCTTACGGATTTAATAGCGATGTGTGGTCCCTTGGGCTAACCGTCTTGTCTACTGTAACCGGAAAGAACCCTTGGGCCCCTCCAGAAGAAATGAACATATTTCAGTTATTGGGTAGAATTGCTGGCAATACAACACCAGAATTACCAAAGAGACCCGCATACTCGGCGGAGGCTCGCGACTTTGTGAAGAGATGTTTGGTTAGAGATCCGCAGGAGCGACCATCAAGCGCTGATCTCTTGAAGCACCCGTTCTTTAAAGATTGCACGGAGGCATCTGCTGTCGCTAACGTCAAACAGGGAGTGGATTACATGACTCGTCTGATCAACAATGACGCAAAAAAAATAAGTTCCTGAAGCGATCTCAAGAAGCTGTCACAAGGGAATTGAATGCTAAGCTAGACAGGTTAGGTGATTTGTAGTATGGGCGCTTTATTTTTATTTTTGTTTATTCTTTTTTTTTTCGCTTGTTGTTCTTTTCTTCTTTGCCTTTATTGTAATCATTGAAGTACTAGAAGTGGTAAACACAAGGAATTTTTTCGTGTTGCTGTTCCTGTTGTGTTGAATTTCATTTGCTTCATTTGTTGTTGTTGTTTGTTGTTCTTGTTGTTGTTTTTCTTTTCTTTGTTTGATACGTTGCAGAAGGAATTCGTTGGTCCTACGTGTGTGTTCGGCGGGGTGTGCCGAATTTCGCCCTTCTTGCTTTATCAAATATATATATTACCGCAAACGGTGCGTCTGGAGGGCGTTGCCCGCCCGGCACCCCTCCACATTTCCCCTCAACGCGCGGGGGAAGGGCGAAGGACGCTTTTTAGCAGCAATGCCCCTTCGTTGGGGCCTAATGTTTTAATAGATGGTGAGCCGATCTCGTTTTGGAAACCGCCCCTTTTGGCTGGGGGGCCGCTTCGCGCGAGACAGCGCAGGCGATGGAGAAAGAATAAATCGTGCTTACTTCTTTTCTGACTTTTATCTTTCCTTTTTTTCCCCACCAAATAAAAAAAAACGATTTAGACTCTTTTGAACTGTGTTTTGTCCG